TTTATGCCAATACTAAGCTGTTTTCATCACTGTAGCTCTGTAATAGAGCTTGGTGTCAGGGATGGTGATGCCTCTAGAAGTTCCTTTATTGTATAGCATTGTTTTAACTATCCTGGTTTTTTTTTCCATACGAAGTTGATTGTTATTCTTTCAAGGACTGTGAAGAGTTTTATTGGGATTTTTATGGGGTTGCATTGAATCTATAGATTGCTTTTGATAGGATTTCCATTTTCACTCTGTTGATCCAAACTATCCAAGAGCATGGGAAATCTTTCTATTTTCTGGCATCTTCTTTAATTTCTTTCTTTAAAGACTTAAAGGTATTGTCAAGTAGATCTTTCATTTCTTTGGTTAGTGTTACACTCAAAATATTTTATATTATTTGTGGCTATTGTAAAAGGTGATGTTTCTCTGATTTCCCTCTCAGCTTATTTATCATTTGTGTATAAAAGAGATACTGATATTTTTGAGTTGATCTTCTATTTTACCACATCACTGAAGATATTTATCAACTGTAGGGGTTCTCTGGTAGAGTTCTTGCGGTCACTAATGTACACTGTCATATCATCTGCTAATAACAAAATTTGACTTCTTCCTTTCCAATTTGAATCCCCTTGATATCTATTGTCTTATTGCTATTGCTATAAAGCAACTATGCTAGTTCAACATAAAGAACTATGTTGAATAGATATGGAGAGAGTGGACAGCCTTGTCTTGTTCCTCATTTTATTGAAATTGCTTTGAGTTTTTCTCTGTTTTATTTGATGTTGGTTGTCATCTTGCTATATATTATTTTTATTATATTTAGATATGATCCTTGTATCCCTGATTGCCCCAAGATCCTTATAACAAATGGCTGTTGGATTTTGTCAAATGCCTATTCAGCATCTCATGAAATGATCATATGGACTTTTCTTTCAGTTTATTTATATGATGGAATACATTGATAGATTTTCATATGTTGAACCAGCCCTGCATCTCTGAGATAAAGCCGACTTGTTCATGATGGCTGATTTTTTTGGATGTGTTCTTGGATTCAGTTTGCCTGTGTTTTATTGAGTATTTTTGCATTCATATTCATGAGTGAAAGTGGTCTGTACTTCTCTTTCTTGGTTTAGTTTTTGCGTGGTTTTGGTATTAGGGTAACTAACTATAGTCTCTTAAAAAGAGTTTGGCAATGTCCCTTCTGTTTCTATTATGTGGAACACTTTTAGGAGTGTAGGTATTAGAATTCTGCACTAAAACTATCCGTCCCTGGGCTTTTTTTTTTCTTTTGGTTGGGAGGTTTTGATGACAGCTTCTATTTCCTTAGGGTTTATAGGTCTATTTATATTGCTTACCTTGTCTTGACTTAATTTTGGTATATGATGTCTATATAAAAAATTGTCCATTTCTTTTACATTTTCTAATTTTGTGGACTACAGGCTTTTGTCATATGACCTATTGCTTTTCTGAATTTCCTCAGTGTCTGTTGTTGTGTCCCCCTTTTCATTTCTAATTTTGTTAATTTGGATGTTCTGTCTCTGCCTTTTGATTAGTTTGGATAAGGGTTTGTCTATCTTGTTGATTTTCTCAACGAAGAGCTCTTTTTTATTGATTCTTTGTATTGTTCAGCCTTCTATTTGATTATTTCCTGTCTTTTACTCCTCCTAGATGAGTCTGCTTCTTTTTATTCTATAACTTTCAGATGTGCTGTTAAGTCAGTAATGTGAGCCTTCTACATTTTCTATATGTGGGCACTTAGTGCTATGAACATTTCTCTTAGCACTGCTTTTATGGTGTCCTATTGATTTGGATATGTTGTGCCTTCATTTTCATTGAATTCAAGGAAATCTTTAATTTCTTTCTTTATTTCATCCTTGACCTAGGGTAGTTCAGTAATTCACTGTTTAATTTCCATGGGTTTTAGGACTTATGAAAGTAGTATTTTTGTTAAATTTTAACTTTAATCCACGGTGATCTGATAAACATCTGTGGAGGTTTGCTTTGTTACCGAGTATGTAATCAATTTTAGAGAAGGTTCCATGAGGTGTTGAGAAAGTATATTCTTTTGTGTTTGGGTGGAATGTTCTATAGATGTCAGTTAAGTCCATTTAATTCATGACAGCTGTTAGTTCTTTTATTTCTCTGTTAAGTTTCTTTCTGGTTGACCTGTCCATTGGAAAAAATGGAGTGTTGAAGTCTCCTACTATTAATTTGTGGGGTTTGTTGTGTGATTTGTGTTTTAGTAATTTTTTTTACATATGTAGGTGCTCTTGTATTGGGAGCATAGACGATGTTCATGATTGAGACTGCATCTTGATGAAATGTTCCTGTTATGAGTATAAAATGTCCTTCTCCATCTCTTCTGACTTATTTTAGTTTGAAATGAATTTTGTTAGAGATTAGGATAGCTACACCTGCTTGTTTCTTTGGTCCATTTGATTGGAAAACCATTTCCCAACCATTTACTCCGAGGTAGTATCTATCTTTGAGGTTCAGGTGCCTTTCTTGTATACAACAGAAAGCTGGATCCTGTTTTCATATCCAATATCTTACCCTGTGTCTTTTTATAGGTGAATTGAGTCCATTGATATTAAGTGATATTAATAACCAGTGGTTGTTAATTCTGGTTGATTTTCAGTTTTAGTTTTTGTATGTTTCCCTCCTTTGGGTTATGCTTGTGGTGAGTTATCAGATACCTGTGTTTTTGTGAGTGTAGTTAGCTTCCTTGGGTTTGGATTTTCCTTCTAATACTTTCTGTAAGCCTGGATTTGTGGATACGTATGTTTAAATTTGTTTTTGTCATGGAATATCTGGTTTTCTCCATCAATGGTGAATGAAAGCTTTGCTGGGTATAGTATTCGGGGATTGAATCCATGGTCTCTTAGTGTGTGTAGCACATCTATCCAGGACCTTCTGACTTTCATGGTTTCCATTGAGAAGTCGGGTGTAATTCTGATAGGTTTACGTTTATATGTCACTTGACATTTTTCCTTTGCAGCTCTTAATATTCTTTCTTTGCTCTGAATGCTTTGTGTTTTGTTTGCTATATGGCAAGGGAATTTTTTTTTGATCCAGTTTATTTGTTGTTCTGTAAGCTTCTTGTACCTTCATAGTGATATCATTGTTTAGGTTGGAAATGCTTTCTTCTATGATTTTTCTTGAATATGTTTTCTGTGCCTTTGAGCTGGAGTTCTTCTCCCTCTTCTATCCCTGTTATTCGTAGGTTTGGTCTCTTCATGGTGTCCCATATTTCCTGGATAATTTGTGTTAAGAATTTGTTGAATTTAATGTTTTCTTTGACCAACGAGTCTATTTCCACTATAGTATCTTCAGCGCCTGAGATTCTTTCTTCCATCTCTTGTATTCTGTTGGTTATACTTGTTTCTGTAGTTCCTGTTTGTTTACCCAGATTTTCCATATCCAGAATTCCCTTGGTTTGTGTTTTCTTTATTACCTGCATTTCAGTCTTCATGTCTGGAACTGTTTCCTTCACTTGTTTGAATGTCTTTTCTTGTTTTTTCTTTGAGGAATTTATTAATTTCTTCCATTTTTGTTTGTCTTCTCCTCCATGTATTTAAGGGAGTTTTCCATTTCCTCTTTAAATGTCTCCATAATTTTCCTAAGGCTACATTTAAAGTCATTTTCTTCTACTTCTTCTGGGTCAAGATGATCAAGTCTTCCTGTTCTGTGACCTCTGGGTTCTGGTGTTACCTTGTTGCTTTTGAGATTGTTGGAGGAATGCTTGCCTTGGTGTCTGCCCATCTCGTCCTTCAAATGAGGCTAGCAGTGTCTTTGTGTCTTGGTCCAATCCTTATAGTGGCTGTCTGAGTGTTTGGGAGTTTTCCTTGGTCTGCTCTCTACTGTCAATGTCTGTCTCAGAAAGCTTCCGAGGTCTCTATAAGCTCTCTCACTCTCTTGATCTTCTTTCCTGGTTTGTTCTCTTGGTGCTCTCTCTTAATCCCCTTGGTGTTGTAGCAAACTCTTGGTCCTTCTTAAGTCCCCTCAGCATTTGAGCAAGCTGTGTTTCAGAGATCCACTGAGGTTTCAGGAGGATATGCAGGTTTGGGCGTATGATGTGGCTAGTAGTTTGAATGACACCTGGATGGGTTTGGATTTGGGGGAATGCCTAGCCACAGAAAAATCCCAACTGGTTGGCTAGAAAAGCCAAGTGAGTTGGGGGAGGGACCAGGGGTTTTGTCCCACCGGGGAGGTCCTAGAAAGTGGGGTTTGTCAAACTCTTTGGCTGTTTACTCACCTCTTATGTTCCCTCAGCATTGGAGCAAGCTTTGTTTCAGAGTTCCACTGAGGTTGCAGGAGGATAGGTGTTTTTGGAGGCAGGGTGTGGCTAGTAGTTTGGATGGCAGCCAGATGAGTTTGGGCTTGGGGATCCTTGCCCTCAGTTTAGTTTTTAAACCCAGCTCTATTCTGCCCTGCCATAAAGCAAAGAAGCCTCGTTATTAATCAATGGTAATAAAACATATTCACATCATACAGAGGGGAACCCCATATCAAAAAGCCATCTCCCACAGTGGCATACTTCCTTCAACAAGGTTCCACCTACTCTAGCAAAGCCATACCTCCTCTTAGTGACACTTCCTATGAGGTTATGGGGCAAATTGCATTCAAATTAGCACAGTGATTGAAGAAATTTTCCTGATAATACTGTAAGCATTTTTTAATTTTATAAATATCATTCAAATTCATTTCCGAGTACAAAATGGTATTAACAAAATGTAATCTCAAAGAATTACTTTTGTTAATTTTGCATATTAAGTCCTACAATTTAAATGTGTTTCTTCTCTTCTGTATTCCTCTTAAATAATGAAATATTATGAGAAATGAAATATAGATTTAAACTTTACTTATTTAATAGTTGTGTATTAAAATGCCTTCAATTGTCTCCAATATACAACACATATTTTCAAGTACAATTCTTATAAAATTAGGAATTCAGGTATGTTCTTAGAAATTAAATAAGACCTTTCTAAAACTTGTTACCAATACTCATTTGACAGAGTCTGTCTGACCCTAATGGACTGAAAGAAGCTTCAGCAGATACCCCCCAATCATCCAATATGGACAATGATGAACTGCAGAAAGCTTCAACAGACACCCCCCAATCATCCAATATGGACATTGATGGACTGCAGGAAGTTTCAACAGACACCCCCCAATCATCCAATATGGGCACTGATGGACTGCAGAAAGTTTCAACAGACACCCCTCAGTCATCCAATATGGACAATGATAAAGAAAAAAATGTACTAAGGCATATAGAGAAAGGTAAGTAGTACATTTTAAAATATACTTGCTATTTACAATGTGGATATGCAGAACAGAACCGTATCTGTTATAAGTAAACAAAATATTACCAACTGAATATATAGAAAGCAAAAGAACAAGTATAATGGTGATAATGCACACACACATTATAAATCTGAGCACCAGGTAAAATTTAAATTGTCAATGAAGGAGTCCTTTCTCCCACATCTCCCATGTTTCCATATTAAGTAGCATTATCTCCAGAAACATATGAGATAAACATGAATATTTAAGTAAATGGGTCTCCCACACAGCTAGGCAGACCCCTGATTAGTCAAACTACACTCAAACACTTGTTTGTACACAGAGATCCTTTAATAAGCAGGAAAGTAAAGTTAATTTCCACTCAATTCAAATTATTGCTTGGGAAATGGAAAATAAGTATTTTATCATTTCTAATTTGTGTTAATTATAACGATGAATAGTTTTTTTTTTTTTTTACCTAAATGGTCATTATACTTTCCTTAGTGAGACATGTGCACTTCCTAACTGAGTCTGTCATGGAAGACCAGAAGCAGACCTCAGAAGAAGAGCAGATACAGGATAGTGGTAGAAAAAATAGAAGGACATTCGTAAGTAAATGCTTAAATTTACATTGGCCACTTTATGTTGTTTCCCCAGTAATGTTTCATAGAACAAATATGGTTAAATTTAATACATCTTTTAGAAATAATACATCAAAAGTAAATGTTTTTGAATTAGTATTGTTTTTTTATTCTTTGAAACTTACATTCACCATTCACCACTGACTTCCTCAGTCAGATACTCATCGAACTTCTTTCTCTTGGCTTAACATCTCTTAAAATAATTATTAATTGCCCACTGAGTCCAATAAGGCTGAGCGTCTGTGAATGTTTGTGAGAACAGCTACTGGATATGAACAACCTGCCAGCAGCCACAAGCCCTTAGCTAAATGAGTCTCCTCCTTTCACAACCATCAGTTGACAACTGCTCCTCAGCTAGTGCTGGGGCCTTGGAGACATTTGCTCACTCCTGCTGGAATCTTGATTGGTTTGATTGTCTAGTTTATGTACATATCAGGTATGTCATGCCCCCCAAAAATCATTGTTTTGTTTTCTTTTTTAATTTAATTTTTTTCTTTAAAAAAGCAAACTATCTTTTTGTATTATATATAACAATTCAAGTTCCCACTTCCTCTGCTCCTCCCATTCCCTCCACATACCCTTCTATCCTACCCCCATCCACTCCTCAGAGAGGGTAAGGAACATTGCTTTGGGGAAGGTCCAAGACACCTGCTACTATATTTAGGCTGAGCAAGATATCCTTCCAAAGAAAATGAGTTTCCAAAAATCTAGTACAAGCTGTAGGGTAAATCTTGGTGCCACTGTCAGTGACTCCTCAGTCTGTTCTAGCCATGCAACTGTCAACCGATTTAGAAGGACTAATTTGGTCCTATGGTTATTCCTTCCCTGTCCAGCCAGAGTCGGTAAGCTCCCATTAGCTCATGTGAACTGTTTCAGTGGGTGTACCCATCATGGTCTTGACCTCTTTACTCATATGCTCATTCCTCCCACTCTTCAACAGGAATTTGGGAGCTCAGTCCAGTGTTTTGGTATGGGTCTCTCCCTCTGTTTCCATCCGTTTCTTAATGAAGGTTCTATGGTGATATTTAAGATATTCATCAGTCTGACTACAGGGCAAGTCAAGATTGGGTCCCCTCTCCTTTATTGCTTAGGTCTTAGCCGGGGTCATCCTTGTGGATTCCTGGGATTTTCTCTAGAACCAGGTTTCTTGCTAATCCCATAATTGCTCCCTTAGTCAAGATATCTCTTTCCTTGCTCAAAAAAGAGCATTGTAAAGTACTTTTCTTTAAATTAAAACTCATATTTTTTCTGAGCATTCTTTCTCATTGTTTTATGAGCTTTCAGTAGTGGGAGGTTATTAATACAAATGACCCATCATAGATGAGCCCTCACAGTAGCTTAATGTTATCATGCTGACTAATCATGAGTCTCTGCATTAACCACTACCCTTTGTAAAAAAGTATTCTCTGAACAAAGTTGAGAGTAGAACAAACTACAAAAATAAATAGAAATAATGATACCACTAGTTTATTCTCCTTCTATACCATATGGCTATTCCATAAATAAGCTATTGATAAGGTTTACAGCATCAGACATTAAATCCATTCTGTGGGGGCAGGTATCACATCCCTTCATAACAAATTGGTTATTTATATAAACACTATGAAATCATTGTGCACAGTTTGCCTGGCTAGTCAGTGTTGTTAAATGAAAGGTTCAGGACTGGACAGATCCTGTGTTTCACCACCAGTATTTCACCTCCAATGACCTGAACAGCAACTTTTATTGTTATGAAAGCCAGAGTTTCCATATCAATTAGAGGCTGCATTCTAAATGTTTTGTAACTAGACTGTGTGGTGTCTTCAGCAAAGAGAGTCTTACCATTTAGCTATGACAACCAAGCATAATGTGTAGTAATAGCTTGTTTTAGTAGAGGTTGAATGGAGGCCTAACTGAACAACAATTCATAAAGAGGTATCCTGTCCCTGATTCTTGAAGTATCACCAAAAATCTCATATCTTCTGGGGGAAGTAAACACATTCCAGGTACCTTGACTAAACTTTATTTATTTCATCTTTTAAATGGGTTTGCAAACTTGTAACTTCCACAAGACTTCATAGATCCTTATATTACCCCCATTTACACTTTAGTCCCTGCTCTGACTTATTCTTCTACCTTCATTGACACTTAAACCTTAGCCCGCTGTTACTTCCTGTGACCTGCATTCTTCCTCCCCACTAAACATATTTTATTTAGTTTATAAGATCATAAATTTCTATAAAGTTTTTCCATAGCTTTTCATGTTTATTAAGCATTCACCCTTCACTCCTTCATCCTCCAACCCCTCCGTGATTGAGACTATCAACATTCAGCATCCTCTTCTCTGATTTAATTTTACATATATTTTACTCTGCCCTACTCAATGCCCATCGACCACATCTAATTTCTTGTCTTGCTCATATCATCCAAGTTAAACATACAAGATTCTAGGATACAAATGAGGACAACATGTCACATTTCTATTTCTGATCCTGGCTGCCCTCAGCGAGTAAGACATTTTCTAGATCTATCAATTTACTTGCAATTTTTGTTATTTCATTTTTCTTTACATTGAGTAATATTCCATTGTGTGTATATACCAATTTGCTTATCCATTCATCTGATGATGGCTATCTAGGTTGTTTCTATATCCTATTGTTTTTGAGTGGAATTCTTTCCTTGATATGTTTTTTATTCAGTTTGTTAGCACAGATTTTGGTGCTAAATTTATAGACTGTTAATTTGCTATAGTGATTATCAGGTGGAAGACTTTCTGTGAAGCCCTAAGCGCTTTTATAGATGAGAAAATCCTACCATGTGTGAGAAGGGACACTAAGAGTTCTTTTACAGTTTGTATGCTTTAATAAACTTGTTGCCTTATTGGTCTATCTAAGACTTCAGCTCTTTATTGAAAAAGTATGGAGAGAGTGAACAATGTTTGCCTCGTTCTCATCATAGTGGTTATATTAAGAGTTTTTCTCCTTTTAAGTAGATGTAGGTCATAGACTTGTTTTTTATTGCTTATATAATTGTGCTATTTTCTCTTGCTTATATAATTGTGCTATTTTCTCTGTCCATACCTTGATTCTCTATAACTTTTAATCATTAAGGTCCAAATGTTCAACTGTGTTAGTGGTCATTAGTGCATATACTGAGATGATCATGTGAATTCTTTCATTCTACTTATGTAATATGTGATTTTAATGATTTATATACATTTGTCTTTTCCTGAATTCTTGTTTGAAACAAAAATGGTCATAATGAGTAATCTTTCTGTTGTGATCTTAAACTGACTTTGCCAGTTTCATTTTTTAATATTTAATATTTTTTAATATTCTTGTCCACGGCATGTGTGCTTGACTTACTCAGAAGCCAAAAGAGAGTATCAAATTCTTTGGAATGGGAGTTACAGACAGTTGTGAGATGTCAAATGGATGCTGGGAATTAAACCTGGGTCCTTTGAAAGAATAGGCAGTTCTTGTAAATGCTGGGCCATCTCCACAGACCCAGTTTGTCAATATCAGATATATAAGTTTTGTATCTATGTTCATCATGAAAAGAGGTCTGTGGTTTTAATTCTCGTTGTCTGGAGCCTTTATCTAGTTTGGGATTCAAGGTATTACTGGCTTCAGAAAAAGAATTTAGAAAACCTCCTTTGTTTTTCTATTTCACGAAATTATGTGAGTAGCAATGGTGTTAATTTTTCTTGGCATTCTGTAGAATTCAGCAATTCTTTAGAATTTGATCCTTAGTAGTTTTTGGTTGAAAGGCATTTCGCTACTTACTCCTTCAATCCCAATAGCATATACTCTATACTATACTATTCTCTGGGACTCTCTAGGCTAGCTCATCCTGTGCAGCCTATAGCGAGGAGGAGGGCCAGTTCACCCTCACTCATAGTGCCAGGGTCAGAAGTGACATGTTTTAATTTCTATTTTATTATTTTCAGCCATGCTTTTGATTATTTCATGACTGCTTGATTATAGTCACAATTAATACCTTGAACTCTGTGTCCTGAAGTTCATTGAGATCATTCTCTTTAGATTTTATTATGTGACGAATAATTTTTCGGAAGATGTTATAGATTGTTAGTTGGATTTTTCTTCCTTCTTCCCCTTTTAAAAGACCCTCGTTTCAGTGGACACATTTAAAATATTCAGGAGAGCCTAAATCTTGGTGGTATTAGAGTGATTTTTTTCCTCTGTGCCACCAATTTTGAGAGACACAAGTGCTAACCTTGTCTTATTCTGAGAGTCTCCCTCTTTCCAAGCCTTGAGCAGGGTTCCTCTGTCAATACAGGTGATGCCTGGCCCATGAAACCTCACCACCTGCAGGAGTGGTCAAAAGCAGTGCAAACTGAGAGCCACTCAATTTTGTGGAGGTTGACCAATGTCATCAGTGAGCCTAATCTCTAGAAGGCAGGGTTCTTCACTTAGTTTGGGAGGTCATGCTGCTGGGGATCCTGAAGGAAAATCCCTGGGTCCTATGATGTTTTGGGAGAACCTTCAGGCCAGGCCCCAAGACAAAGTTCACAGGTATCTTATGTGGCCCTAAGGAGAAGCCAGGATCTTACATCTGGTTCTGGAGTTTCTGCAAAAGCAGAGGTAGCCTTGAGCCTAAAAGACAGACGATCTCCCTTAGTGAAGGAGTTCTAGTAGACTATACACTGGAGTCTAAATACTTAATCCTTACAATATTCTAAAATCATGAATATACTGAAAAAATATGCAATCACCACAGTAGCCCTTATCAGTTGGATGGGATGGTTGATATATTTCATGATGTTGTTTAAATTTTCAGTCTATAAGTTCCTTTATACACAATCTCTTTCAGATTGATGCTATAAGAGCTTGTTTTTCTTCATGTTTCACCAAAAAATTGAGCTCTTCTCCCCACCACAAGAAATAGAAGAGAAAACACCGAAGGGGGATGGTAAGAGTAATATTCTGTTTTAAAAGGAATTGTAAGAAGGTTTACCTAAAATACATGCTCAATCTTCTAGCTCAGGAATATTAATATTTTAGTACATCAGAAGGAAAAAAGAGTTAACTATCAATGGACTGTTTATCTCATTAATCAACAATAGAATAAGTCAAGAGTATCATAAATTATACACACAGATTTATATTGCAATACATACTATATATATAGTTATAGAAATATAGAGTGTGTGTGTGTTTGTATGTTTTGCATTTCAACAGTTCAGCAATATTAGGAAAAATGACAGAAGAGAGAATGTTGGGAGGTAAAGAATATGGGCAGTTTCAAATGCTGGACATAAAGGAGGAAAATGTGGCAGTATGTCTGGTAGAGGTGAGAGAACAAATTCTTTAGAAATGGAATAGCAAGGTGTTGTAAATGTAATAAGAATATCAATGACTTCCTAAAACAAAGCTTTCATTCATAATAAGAAAAGGTATTCCTGACCACCCTCCATGTTTTTCTCTCTGTTTTTACATACTACAGTTAGGATCCTGTTTAGGGTTTAAGGCTAGGTTGAATTTTTTGAATAGGCTTCAGTTTCTATATTTAGAGATGCTTTAAGGTTAGAATTTGGTATTAGCATTAAGGTTCACAGTAGTCACTGTGTATGTAGGCCTGTCATGAACATAAAAGAAACTGATAATTATTAAATAAATCATTCATTATAGATGTAAGGTAGATCTTGCAAACCAAATTTATTGACACACATGTTGTAGGAACAAATTTATGAATGCTCTAACTAGCACTTTGCACGGTATAGTTTATAAAGCAGACAAAATCACTGAGCATTTTGAATGGATTATTCTCATCCTGGACTTGGACAAGCCTGCCACAATTGCCTGACAACTTCTCTGACCATCTTCAACAAGACAACACAGGAGAAAATCTGTGCCTTCTACCATAATTGCTTCAAGAAAAGCCACGTGTTTATGTTTCAGCATATTATAGTATTATATTACATAATCATCAGTGTTATTTCTAATTGTTTATTTGGTTTTACTATGTTGCTGTATGTTATACTAGTACATTGTCTTCAGTGTTTATTTTCATGTGTTTATTTTATCTTTTATTTTATTATGTTATATTATATTAATATGTAATCTTTGGTGTTTATTTTATAATTTCCTTCCTTCCCTTGATGTAAATAATCCATGTACATATGTATATATGTAAATATGTATATAAGTTTATGTGTTTTGTAGTGTGACTCTTTTTAGAAGATATTTTTATTGTCCAAAGTTATTGAATAAATTTAATTTAGTTATTAGTTCAAAACTGTTTGATTCCACTTGATTTCTGTAGTTTCCTGTGGCTCTTCCAGTTACTAATGCAGTCATACAGGAATTAGAGGATCCATGACGGTGCAGTCATAGCTTCTTTATGTAGGGGAGCAGTGCTTTAAATAGACAACTGCATTCGAAAATAATTCTAAGTCATCATTTGCAGTTTGGTGTAAATATACACATAGGAATTTTCTTTCTACAACCACTGTTATAAATGAAAACTTATATGTGATATGGCAATATTTGTTTTTACGATGATTAAGCCTCAGATCCAAGATACGCTGAGAATTTATTTTAAACAAGTTTTACACAGCAGAATTCATTCTTTCATTGGTGGCAAGAATAGAAGGCAAAAAGGAAAGTGACTATAGAATTTTGTGTGTTCTCTGATACTGCATTGGTTCTTTAAGTCATGTGAAAAACACCATTTGACCAACAAAGGATGGTTTTGACACATCATTTTAGAGTGTTTGAGTCCGTCTGAAAGAGAAAGGCATGGTGTAGTAAATCAGTGGAAGTGGTTAGACTGTGAGGTGGCAGATTCTTATGTTAGACCTATAAGCTGAGAAATTCTTAAACTAAGGAATGGGAATAATCTTCAAAAGATGGTTTTAATGACCTTCTGTACAGAGCATTCTTCAGCTTTTAAAGACCTCACAGCTTTTCAGAAATGACCCCTCTATTTTGAGGAAAAATATTGCTTCATCATCCTCTGGGAGACAGTTCACAAATAAACCAAACATCCCATACATAAGGCTCATGAATTTCTCATGATGTGAACTGCAGATAGTACAGCTTGAAGGGTCCCCATTTGGTTAATAACTCCAAAAATGTGCAAAAGTTGGAAGTTTTTCTGAGCCTCAAAGCTTTGATTCTTTGAAAAATCAAGAAGAATACTGAGTCTTTTTACTAAAATGTCACAGATCAAGCAGCATTCTCAAAGGAAATTTTAGGAAATAGCAAAGAAAATCTTGACAAAAGCAAGATAAAATACAATTGGGAAAATACCAAGGGTTGTATCTCCAGGTCCAGCAACTGGGGAATATGATTACATGAAGTGAACTCCAAAGGACAGAGGCAGA